GACATTCGTAATACTTTAACGCAATTATATGTAACTGTGCGCGAAGTCGAGCCGCCATTACCACTTCCAGCTGCGCGGTACAGCTACTTTAGCTGGCCGCTGAGAAGGGTAGAAGCGTGGCTCAAAGGGGTTATTTTAGGAACAGGAAGGTGGCCGTCCGATGGGACGTTCGCGTCTCTCTCCGGACGACCCGCTTCCATTCTTCGCTTTGAAACTTCCGCTGCTCTGTGTTGCGGATGTGTCACCGGGTGGTTGTGACGCATGCGAAATCGCGAAGCGAAATATTATTCCTCGCCGTGTCTCCCGTTAATCGATAATCGGATAATCGAGGTTCCCTGTATTCGAACGAGGCGCACAATTCGCGACGATAAATCCCGCAACATCGGTTTTTCAAATTCCTCGAAAAACAAATTTACCCGTGTGTCTATGTGTGAAATTAGACCTTCAAATCCGAAAGAATAAACCAAACTGTGCAGCTCTTTCAATCGCTCATCGTTTGCGCAGCACTAGTTGCCGGAAAATTTTGGTTGCCGAACAATCTTGCGGAGGCTAATGAAAAAAGCTCCCGTTATCACCCGTCCGGAATTTTGTAGAAATATCCTTTAAACTGCAGATGTGCAAACGAAATCCGTCCGGAAAGAGGAGAGGAAGAAAAGAAAAGATATAAAGTGAAGTAGAGAAATCGAGACTCGAGAAGCGTCTGTGAGGCGAACGCCTCGGTGAATCTTGTCGCAATTCGTGTTTATGCGATGCTCGTAAGAATTTTCTGTGGCGACACGAAGACAGTGACGACACTTCGTATCCTGGAATACGCTATGATACCGTAAACGCCCCCTCTCCCCCTTGCTTCGCCCCATAAACTCTAGCGAGGTACTGGTAGCGGTACGTACACATTCGCGCAGAAGAAAATACAAATGCAGGTCAATATAGACCATAGAAAGTGCCGGGATACAATCGATCGTCGTAAATCGCCGATCCGACGTTTTATGCTTGCGCGTACGCGCGGTATTCCCCCCCCGCGTCTTTTCCGCAAATATTTATCTTCCTCGCGCTTCTCGACAATCGTCAGGAACATTCGCGGACGATTCGACGACGGCGTTTCTCGCTTGCCGGCGCGAAAAATCTTGCCTCCTTGTTATTACGTCAGAGCGAATGGAACGTCGCGTCGGTGATCGGCTTAGGAATTCGCCCGCACTAAATGAAGTAACGATCGATCGCGCGCGCGCTCTTCATTCCAATTTCAATATTCCTGAATAAGCGGCCGTTATAGATCGCGTTATTTGCTTGTATATTTCCCTCGGCGAATCGGCGGCCGCAATAATTTTGCGCCGGGGCATCGTCGCGCGCACTTCTCTGTCCGACCGAGAGAGGAAATTTCATAAAGATCGCGTCCGCTCGCGCGCGGAGGAAATTCCGCAAAGGACGATAACCGAAATTGCGTTTCTGATTCGTCGAAGACGATACTTTCGGTACGCTGAGGGAAGCGCGGCGTCTTTCTTGAGCATCGTGGCGTGGCTTTAGCCGCGCGGGGAAAGAGAGAGGACGGGACGAACGCTCCAAGGATTAAACCTGTCCTTCCCTCCTCTCGCCGTCGCTCCCTTTCCCTTTTCCGCTCGTCCGTCGAGACAAATCGACGTTTCGGCGCTGGAAAAGCGCTAGCTCGGCGGCGAGCTCAAAGGCGACAACGCCGGCTTTTCTAAGATGATCCCCGCGAAGCGCATCGTCTGCTGCGCTTAATTAACTTTAATTAATCCGCGCCGCCCGGGGATTTCGCGTCTCGCCGAGATTAAGAGCAGCGAGATTAACATACCGGCGACCGAGCGCAGTCCCGGGGTATGCGACGACGAGGGTATGCCAGAGATACGCGCGCTAATTCCTCTTTCGAGCTGGCGCTACGCGCGATTTGCCGGAGTTTGCCCGTCCGAGCTGGATGAGCTGCAAAAATTTGAATCGCCGAGTTAAATTCGTCACTTCGTCTCACGTGCGTTCACGCGTGCGTGACGCGGAGGCGAAGAATGTATGTGTGTGTGTGTGTGTGTGTGTGCCCACGTGTGTCGTGTACGTGTGCATCTATCTGATAAGCCGATTACGAGGATACATCGTTGTTAAGCCGATCGGGTCGATTTTCTGGGTCGATACTTCTTCCTCCAGCTGAGCCCGGCCGTCGTCTTATGAGCTCTCTCGTCGTCTACGTCGATCTCGGTTCTTCATTTGCCGCTTCGTTGAAGATTCGTTTCTGGAGATATGGCCTTGCGCGCGGAAATTACTAATAATCGGTGGATTAACGATCGGGGAATCCAATGGATGGTGTTAAACCTCTTGCCGGCGAAAGCTGTGACGCGATCGAGCGAGATGCTCTTTCGTTTTCTCTCTCTCTCTCTCTCTCTCTCTCTCTCTGTCTCTCCCTCTCTCATTCTTCCTTACTCTTTTTGTGAGATAATAATTTATGGAATATTTCAGTGGAATCTGAATCGCGTTTATTTTCTTTTTCATTTTTCCATAAGGCGCGCGGGACTCTCAAGTATTCTCGCGAGTGCGATTGTACGTCGCACTCGAGAGAGATTTTGTCTAAACGGCGAGCTATTCTTGCAGCCGCATTTGCAAACCGCGAGAGATTGCCGGAGGGGCATGCTCAATGTAAAGCGCAGATTGCACGTGCGACGAGTTGCGGCAATCGATTTGCACGGATGTAGAACATGCTCCAATTTGCGTGAGAATTGCACGCGTGTAAGAATTGCACTGCGTTGGTTCTTCGTCTGTCGGAACAGAGAGCACGCTCCCTTGGCGTTCCAGCGACGATAATTATCCAAATATTTTTCCAAAGATTGATATATTGAAAATACATTTTCAACTTATGCGCGTCATAAGCGTGCGGAATTACAAAATGATTTCGTTGCGCTTGAAAATTTCGCGAAACTCGGCAGCCGATTCGCTACGAATAATCGATAATGATCGTTGGTGAAACGACGCGTGAAAAAAAATTTATCTCCTTGGCGGACTAAAAGCGAACGTCACTGAACCATATTCGCCGCATGCGCCGAATGCAAATCAGGCGGGATTGCATATGCGACGCGCGGCGCATAGAGCGAGTGCATTCGTTGCATTCGCACGCGCGGAAGTAGAATCGTTGAAAGCGAGAAAAGGCTGGTGAAATCAAACGGTAGTCGCGCAACGAGGGGAACGACCCGACGCGCGACGCGTTGCGGCGGGAATGGGCGGCAAAGGAAACGCATTCAAATTGTCATTTTTATCTCGTTGGGATCGGAGGAGGCCGCGAGGCGACCTTTGCCGGCGTACGAGTCTCGCGTATCGTATCCGGTGATCGCGCGAGAACTTTGAAATACGAGACGCACCTGCGCTGCATCGCGCATATACACGGTGTCCCGGCGAATCGGCAGCGTGGATCGCGGGGTGTCCTTCGATAAATTCCAACAGTCGGGATATTCGCTTTTTCGGCCGATATTTCACGTCGCCCGCGCGCCGCGCCGGCAGCCTTAATTCGCATCGGCCGATCGATTGCTCCGGCAGTCCGGATGGACCGCAGTCTCGCCGAGAGAATTGCCCGATACTCGGCGCATCACCCCGTATCTCCGCTCGAGACACGTGTCCCGCGCGATGCGCGAGGGAAACCGCGCACGAATCTTCCGCCCGCAGAATTTTCCGCCAACTCGATAACGGCGCGCCGAGAGCTTGAGAAGTGGATTTTTATTTCTCGCCGACGCATACGCAAACATTTGCATAAAATATTTACGAGATCGAGCGATACATGCGCTGCAGTCCGCCGCTGCTGCTGCTGCCGCTGGTGTTGCTTTTGCTCGTTTACGCGCGCGCGCGCGCGCGCGCATACGTTGGAGAAGTAAATAAATAACAACGGGGCTGACGTCGCGCGCGCGTCGGCGGCACATCTTCGAGATATTTTTATCAGTTTGTAATTCGACAAGAATGTGCCGCGACTACCGAGAAATCTGGAATCGTCGTATCGGCCGGCCGGCGCGCGTGATAACACCGCCGCGCCTTTATTTTTAGAAGCCTGACGCGTCGATTCTATTATCAGTTTCCACGCGTCGCGCAGATGACAAGGGATAACAACGAATAATACGCGAGAGTCGAGCTCTCGTTCGCTTTTGTCAAGCGAGACGTTTGCTGACAGCCGAAAGAGAAGTACGTGGACGTAATTGTAACAAGTGTCTATTACATCGGTCGGAACAATTGTCCCGGGTATCCTCGTGTGCGTGAGCGTGCGTGAACGACCATTGCGCCGCGATTATCCGGCGAGTATTTCGCGTAATGAGGAAAACTCACACTCGTGGCTATACAACTAGGACTAGTTCCCAGAAGCAAAACTAGAATTTTGGGTTAAATCTAAAATTAGAAGTAGAATCGTAGAATTGGACCAGAGAATTAAGACTAGGACCGGGACTAAATCTAGAAGTAGGATTGAAACTAGGACTAGAAGTAACCGGAATCACATCCCGAATCAACGGGGGGTATTATAGGGAGTATTCATACCTTCCGACCTTATGGTTACGGTCGCTTGAAATTTACTCGAAAATGTCGAGGAGGGCCATTCTTCCCAACCTCAAAACCGTATCGTCCTGGGAATTAAAAAGACAACCTTCGGTATGAGACCGAACTATGGATATACCGCTTTAAGATTCCTGCTAAGAGCAGAGATTACGGTTAGAAGGCCGACTAGGCGAAGGGAAAGGAGCGAGCGGAAGTGGAAATCGCGTAGAAAACGCGATTCATCCGGAGGATGTACCGGTGGTTTGTTCCCGAGGTTAGTTTTCCGGAGTCACAGCAGTCGTCTCGCGCGCGCGATGCCATGCCATGCCATGCGATGCGATGCGATGCGGTGCGATGGGGAGGGGGAGGGGGGGTAGGGGGGAGTTGCGTAGGAGTGGCGGCAGTGGAAGGGGCTCGACGTCGCGCACGCGCCAGCTCCGCTTCCCCGTCCGGTCAGTCGTGCGTGGCCCTTCACATGTTTTGCGTCGCGTCGCATCGCACGCTCCGCCGTTAATAAATCGCGCGCTCGCGGTTGCTCGGGGCTGCTTTCTCTCTCGCCCTCGCTCTCACGCTCCCCTTCGCTTCCTCCGGTTGACCGTCCCGCCCGCACCAGCATCCCGGGCGACTCGTATCCTCGTCGACGTCATCTGACGCGTGAGCTCCGAGAACTGTCCGACAGGCGAGGACGAAAACAGGAGGAGCGTCCTCTCGCAACGATAACCGTGACGTTCGCGCATGTGAGTGTGTACCATACGTGTGTGTGTGTGTGTGTGTGTGCGTGCGCGTGCGTGTGTTGTGTAATCCGCGTGTAGGTGCGGATTCGGGTGTGTGGTCTTCGCACGCGCGCGCGACGCCCGGGCCGGAGGTCCGCTGCAACGTGAGAACGAAGGAAGTGTCATTCGCGTGCCACCGGAGCACGTGGCACCTCGTGGCAGTTTGAGCGTGTCCTTCGCGACGCAGTGTCGTCCGGCGTGAGAATTTTCCGTACATTCTTCCCGTCCCGCGACAACGACGACGACGACGACGACGACGACGACGATGACGACACGACTCAGATCCGCGACTACTTCGATCCGTCGCGACGCCGATTAGACGCGAATCAGACGGCCAGCTAACGTTCTTATCAAAGGTCCCGCTCGTCTCTCTTGGGTTCGAGAATTTCCGTCAAAAGAGTGCGGTGGCGCGCGCTTACGCGGAGATTCACTCACGCACTTCGTCGCACGCTACGATCCAAGATTGACATTTTGAGATGCTCCGCCGCGTAGAAGAGAGCGAGCGTGTTACTCCTGAAAATTATCGCAAGATGAAAACGCGATAAAAACATCGCACAGTGTCCGTACGACACATACGCGTCCTATCTCGTCCTTCAAGTTCGCCCGCACGTAATCACCCGTGCAGTGTGGGGCTCTCCGTCGTGACGATACAGTTACGATCGTGTTCGATAAACAGTGATTGCGCTCGGCACGGCAAGAAAACGCTTACAAACTGCGTTGCGCGCGAGAGGATTGTGCACACGTGTTTGTGCGCGATTTACACAGCGTCGTGAAAAAGTGGAGTAAGGAGGAGCGCGCAGGGTACATCGTGAGATCGCAGGACGAGCGCGTTTGGTCCGTCGCGACGAGATTTCCGCCGTCCGTGTGTCGCGCTCGCTTCCTTTCGCCGCGCGGCCTTCCTCCCTCCGTCGCGCCTGTCCGCCACGATCCATCCCTTTCTCCTTCGCGAGTGCGAGGCCCGACGAGTGCAAGCCCTCTACTACTGTGCTCCGCGGACTGTGTCCGCGACTCGTGCTACGTACCTGCTTGCCTGCCCGCTCGCCTGCACCCTGCAACCCCCCCGACCAGTGCCGCTGTCCCACCCCCGTGAGAGGCCAACGTGGGATCGATATTTACGAGGTAAGATGGCTCGTCGCCTCTCTACTACGCGACTGAAAGTCGCGAGCATTCCGAGCCGAACGGCGGCCGTGCGTTTCGCGCTCGCGTGCATTGACAATTTTATTACGATCTCGAGGAGAGATATCGGCCCGGAATCTTTCATATTGGGGATTCGTAAAAGGGATAGAAGGAGTGGATGCCGAGCGGTCATTGTTTCCCACGCTCATCTTTTTACTCGTGAAAGTGTACACAGAGGAGAGAGATTCTTTTTAGCTGAATTAGGTCGCACTTTTTACCGCCTTAAAGTGAAATAAATATATCAACTTGCGTTGAAGGGAAAGGAAATGAAGTTTCAGGCGTAGTACACTGGTTCAGATAAAAAAAAGAAACAGACTTAAAATTGACACGTTGTATCCGCAAACTCGGCGCGCGTAATTTTTACATTTCCCAGTGCGACGTTAAATTTCAATTTAATTACTGGAATTTTATCTAATCAGTTTCTGGCCTCTCTTTTGAGCAACACTGGAGTGATTGTCCGAACGTTTAATTGATCTTATTTTCGGAAAGAAAAAAGATTCGAGCCAGCGTATCGCGCTTCGAAAAATCTGGGACCGTGGTGATTGAAAGGCACACCGACACCTCGTTTTCCTTCTTCCAGTTGTTGTTCCGGCGAAATCGCTACGATATTCCCTACGCGATTCCTAGCGCGTCGAGTAATGGCACGCGCGAAATCCCGTTTGGTTACAAAGTGGCAGCGTGAAAATGCGGATGCGTAAATAAAGGGCGTTACGTAATCCGTCGTGTTCTCTCTCTCTCTCTCTCTCTCTCTCTCTCTCTCTCTCTCTCTCGGCCGGCTCGTATGTTTGTGCGGTAAATATACCTAATGCAAAAGCGTGCCCGCGCCCGCGCCGGTAACCGCGCGCTCTTTTGGCATGGTTTACGCGGGGTTTACGTATTTGATCGTAAAGACGCATAAACAGTTCTGGAATCTGACCAGAAACCGCAACGTCGATCCGCGTGCCGAGCCAATGCGAATCCGTTCGCGAGTGCGAATTCGCGAGTGCTGTTCGTTAATCGAAGCGCGAACCGCCGAGAGGAGAGCGAAAGAGAACGCTCTCCTCTCCACCGGCGAGAGAGGAAATTCGCGACGAACGCCGGAAACGGAACAAATATCTGCACCCTGCTTGCGCAATATCGGCCGCATTAAAGGCCGATAAAAGTAATTATTTCGCGAGTAGTTTTCATTAGCATTGGAACATTAGTGTTATTTCGATCAAAAGCACAGATGTATATAAACGGAAATACTAGAGACGCTGGGAGTAAACGAAACTCAAAGCACTTATTAAGCAAGCAATTTTATTTAACGGAAGAAATATAAATGCAAATTGGAGATTAAGGGAGAACGTAAAATAAAATATTATATCGTTTAAACGACTTTATTAAGCGATCAGGAAGGTGCGTGAATAACGGGACGTTTCTCTCTGGCTTTTTTGGCCTCATCCCGATGATATTACTCTTGCAATAACGGTACATCGTACGATGTATTAGCGGTTAATATGTTTTTTTTTGCGATTTATTTCTTTTTCTGCTCTCCAAGTGGCCGGCGAACGGCGAGAAATTCTAATTGCCCAATTAAATCGCTCTCGTAGGTCAAATAATATCATGTTTGCGAGCGCACCTGTGAGTGCTGTCCGCTGACTCGAAGTGGGGCAATTATACAGAAAGAGACTACCGTGTTCGTAAAGTGGTCGCGGTATTACTTAAAACATTCCAGTTCCCCCTGTCTCCGCTCCCTACGCCGCCCATTCGGAATTCAATCCAGACGCGTGTTATTATAGATTGTCGGCTGAGTAACGAGCAGCTTTTCTACCGTTTTACGTTGTAATGCAGGTAATTACTTGACCAGCGAATGCACCGGCTTCGGTCGTTTAGTCGCATTCCCGGCATTCCGAAGTTGCCAGTATGCGACGTGCGCGCGTGCACGGTGATATAACGTTGCGCGCGTCTTGTCACCTGGCGGGAAACGCCGGGAAATCCGTCTTGATTCGTCGAGGATTCAGCCCGCTGATGCCCCGCCGTTTAATCTCGATCTTATTTCATGCCGTCGCCCATTGTCCCCGGATCTTGCCGGTGCAGACATCCGCGACAAATATTCGCTTTCAAGCGCTGAACTGCGAACCCTATTCACGGTCGTTCGCGCGACGAATAAAGGATTCCCTCTTTCTCTCTCTCTCTCTCTCTCTCTCTCTCTCTCTCTCTCTGTTGCACGCGCGTGCGTAACACGGAGTCGCGCTCACGTCTCAGCAGGCGGCATCCTCGCTCCTCGAGGCCGACGACGCCGGCCGGGATTCTGACTTTTCGGCAAAACGTGTTTTCGCACGAGAGTGCCATTCTTCTTCTCACGTTCGCCTCGACGATACGCTTTTGAGAGGAGGAAGTAGACGCGCGTGACTTTTCGGAACACCCTATGCGTGCGTGCGCGCGCGCGCGAGTGAGCGCGGAAAAGGCGATCGTTAATGTGTTTACTTTGAAAGCAAGTCCAAGCTTCCACTTGCGTAACGTCCTAGGAAGCTGCTCGCGAGCCGTGCCGAAGTGCGTTGTAAAAACGAAGACTACTTTCTGAACCAGCTGCAGTTTCCGGTGTCTCTCGAGCTTCTTTCCTTTTTTTTTCCTCTTTCTTCCCTCCCCCGCTCCCTGCCGTCCTCGGCCTGACGTTTCTATCGTAAACCAGTCAGGTCTAAAAATTCCGAACGATGAGGTAAATCTCATCTTTTCTCGGGAAGATGTCGGAGATACGCCGCGAATAGGCACACAGCGGGGGTTATTGCGTGGAAGCCTCCCCGTCGTCCTTATTAGGATTTCTTAATCCTCGCTGCGTCTAAATTCCCATGACGATATCGGTCTTCCCTCTGGCTCACCCTCTGGCGGCGGTCGCATAGCGCGACTTCCACCCCTCGCGCGTATACCCCAAAAGTTTGTCGACGCTGCGCGTCGCCCTGTCGCCCCGACGAAATGTCACGTGACCGAAATGTCAGCGGTGCTCTTGGCGTTAGCGGGGGTGACCGGGTGGCACGGCTGGGGCTCGCTCTGGCGTCTCGCGGTCGGTGGGGGTGAACAAGAGCCGGAATCCCGATACAGGAAGCCATCGCGCGCCACCACCGCGCGCGCGGTGTGAACATTTCGTTTTTCGTGTATTGCGTGCGTCAAAAGTACACTCGCGCGACGAAAAATCCCGGTTGAACGAATGGCGTTTGCACGCTTGAGCGCACACTAAAAACTCAAGCAGGCGAATTAATGGGTCGGTAAGAATTTTCAGCAACGTAAGACCATCGTGTTGTAAAAGTTCGATCTGTGATTGATCAATTCGCTCGATCATATTGCTCAAATTCTCTTGTACGGAAGATACTTGTATTAAGCTCCAGCGAGGAGAATTACAAGTGAGAAAGAAAACAAAAGTGCGAACATGAAGGACGCTAACGCTAAGTAAACCTCGGGGAACGTCAGACGCCGATTAATTCCAAATTTTTTTAGGTATTTTTTTTTTAGGTATTTTTTATGTCAAAATGTAAAGAAATTTGTTATCATTTTTAGCTTAAATTAATTTTTTCAATTTTTTCGAAATTTTGCAAGTTTTGCACAAGCACTATTTTATACATATTTAAAACAATATTTCTTAAAAACATATATATCTGATTTGTTGGAACTTACTTGCATACACATGTCGCCGATTATGAATCAGAACCATTTTGTAAAATTTAAAATGACGGATCTAATATGGCTGACGTTATTGTTGAAAAAGTGTTCAGTTTTACGCTACACTCGACGTTGGGTAATCTTTCGGCTCACTATCCAGCAAACAAGCTCATCTTAACATCAAAATCTGGTAAAAGATGAACAAGAAATGAACAAAAGAAGAATAAACGAAAAACTTTAGAAATTTCGAAAAGATTGAAAAAATTAATTTAAGCTAAAAGTGATAACAGATTTCTTTATATTTTGACATTAAAAATAACTATAAAAAATTGGAAACAAATCGGCGTCTGACGTTTACCCGAGGTTTACCTGTAAGAGGCAATTGCAACTCGAAATTGCATTTGTTAAAAATATACCACACGCACACCACAAGTGCAAAAGCCGATTTATCGCCGGGACATTTCGACCATATCGCCGTGGATTATCTTGAGTGAAAGTTGCAAATTATAAATTAGAAATCATACTCGATTGGAACCTGTGTGTTAACGGGAGCACGGGCTACTTTCGCGTCGGTCTGAATGATCAGTCTGAATGAGGATGATCTTTACAGAGTTTAAAGGCCATGTTCGGAGTGCGCCGGAACCGAAGATAAGGGAAAAAGGAAGATATCGCGGTTCTTGAACAACAGTCGCTATCTCGTCTCGCGTCTTCGCCGCGTGCTTCGCGCATTATTCGCTCCGGCGCTGTCGAGAAGCGTCACGCTGTTCACGCCCACGCACTACGCTCGCAGTCGCTGCGTCTAGCGCCCGTGGCAATTACCCGAATGCCTCGGGTGAATCTCGCGTATTCGCGCGGCTCCCGAGCAAAAGCGACGGCTTTCTTCGCGGCGGCCGAATAATTTCGCAACCGCCGCCGCCGCCGTCGCCGCCGCCGCCGCCGCCGTCGCGCATCACGAGCGCGTATTCTCGGACCGACCGCTCGCTCGCACGCTCGGTATTTCTCGCGCTCTCGGCCGTTAGATCTGTCCGCAGTTAATAATGGCACGACCGTTTGATTTAACGGCGTCATTAGGGGCCGCGCCTCTCTCCTCCTCTGCCCCCTCCTCTACCTCTCGCCGTCCTCCCTCTCTGTCCTCGCTCTGTAAGCGACACTGTCGCCGAGCCGCGCGCCACTCTCGACGGCTTTCGATGGGCCTTAAGGACCGCGACTCCATCGTCCACGGCTATTAGCCTTCGCCGCTCTCTCGAGTAATTGGCCGTATTAAATTTAATAATCCGTCGGCTGGCCCGCTCTAACGCCATGTCGTCGAGCACGAGCGCGCTTCCTAC